GTATTTATTCGCGTTCGAAAGTTGTCGTCACGTTTGCCAAAAAAAAAAAAAACATGTCCGCCGGGGACAATTTTTGCCATATCGGAAGTGACGAAATCATTTATAAACTTATGTGAAAATTTCAAAATGGCGGGTAAATACATTTGCAAAACCAAAACAAAACATTAAAAAAAATTTTTTTTTTTTTTTTTTTGCATTTTAAACATAACCTAATTTTTTTTGTTGATAAAATAAAATTACTATTCGAAACGTAAAATATAATTTGTTAATAATTATACCTTAAACCGTTAATTTAACCCATAAAAAAAAAAAAAAAAAACGGTCAAAATAATTAAATGCATGAAAAATGGCGGCGGCAGCAGCAGCAACATTATTACTACTTAATTTTAACCATTTTTAACTTTTAAATTATAATTTTATGTTTTAACAAACAGATTTCGTTTTAAAAAAAGAAAGAATTTAACATCATCAATATTATAAATAATTACATAAATTCTTATGTTTATATTTTTCCCTTTTGGTTTTTTTTAAAAGTTCCAAATGTTGTTAAATGTTGAATGATTTTTTTTTTTTTTTAAACAAAAAATGTTTATAAATTTTTTTTTTTTTTTTAACGACCACAATTTTTATTATTGTATAACACTTAAACAATTTAATAAAAATATTTAAATAAATTTTATTATCAAATGTATGGAAAGAAAGAAAGAAAGAAAGAAGGTACAAACTTGTGGTAAATTTTTATTTTTCAACCAAAAAAAACCTTATTTACTTATTTAAACAAATAAAATTTTAATAAATAAATAAATAATCACTTTTCCTTCATTCCTTCTTTCCTTTTTTCCTTTTAGGGGGGGAAGGTTTTCTTTTGTTTCCATTTTAATTTTTATTAACTTAGTATTAAAGGGTCATCTATCATTCACCTGTCATTATAAAAAAAAAGAAAAGTTAATAAAAAATTAAATGTCTTCAATATACAAATTTTTTTTATAAAAGAATTGAATAGAAGAAGCAGAAGAAGAAGAAGAAGAAGCATGTATGTAACTAATTTCGTATCCATAGTAACTCCCGAATAAAAAAGGGGGATAGTCAACCCCTATAGTTAAAGTAAATTTACTTCAACAACAACAACAACAAGAACAACCTTTGTGTGTTTGTAACCTTTATTTTTATTATTATTATTAAAAAAAAAATACAAATTTAAAATGTTATGCCTTTATGGTTTTGATGATGATGATGATGATGATGGTGATGATGATGATGATGATGAACGATAAATAGAAAAAATTTCTTTTTTCCCTACTGGATTTTTTATATATTCGATACAAAACAATCAAATTCTAATAAAAATTTTTTTTTTTGTTTCAAACCCCAAAATCTAAAATTAGAATGAAAAAAACGTGGAACGTATAACAATACCCCCCAAAAAAAGGAAGGGGGGGATTTAAAAGAAGTATTTAAAAAGAAAAAGGTAAACAAAACAAAATTCGTTGGGGAGTATTATAAATTACATAAGCGAAACATAGAAAATAATAAAATCTATAAAATCCTATTTAAATTTTTTTTTTTTTTGAATTCGTCCGAAAGTTTATAAAAGAATAATAATAATAATAATAGCACTGTAAAAAACAGACGTGGAAGAAGAATATAAAACATTATTTTCCCCTTCCTTCCCTTTCCTCTCTTCCCTCCTCCCCCAAATCGTAAAATTTTAAAAATCATTTAAAGAAATCGTTTTGGTTTTATTTAAATTATTATTATTATCATTTGGGAAAATTTGTTTAAAAAATTTCTTCTGCTTTTCTTACTTTATAATTTTCTTCCCTTCTGTAAGTATAAAATTACGGAAAAAAAAAACCGATTCGATAAAATTTTTTTTTTTTTTTTAAATTAATTATTAACGATTTCAATTTTTCCTTTTCAATTTCAAAATGGATTCCTCCCACAAAAGAGAGTGAGAGAGAGAGAGAGAGAGATGGGCCGATTGTTATAATGACAACCCTTATTATTGGTTTAAATAAATTATTTAATTTTTTTTTCCAATGCATGTTTTACGATAATTTTCCGGCCATCTTTTTTCACCGATCGATATTTGTTCAGTAAAAACAAAAAAACACGCGAACCCTTTCCTTATCCATTAAAAATTAAACGTATCGAATATTTATATTAATTCCTACCGTTACCCACACCCACCCCCCTCCCTCCCTCCCTCCCGCCCCCAAAAAAAACCTGAAATTTATGACGTCACATAAGCAAACCGACGAGTATTAATAAAAAAAAAATGTCGGATTTAAATTTATTATTAAATAAAAAACGTTATAAATTTAAATCCGTTACAATATTTACGACGATGATGATAATAATAATTATTAAATTAATATTATTTTAAATAATTTATTAATAACATAATTTATTCGATAAAAAGCTAATAATAATAATAATAATAACCGTTCGCTACACCAAAAAAAAAAAAATAAAAACAAATAAAAAATTTTTTTTTTATGCGGACATAATCACAACATACAATTATTATTAATATTAATAATATACATAATAATAATAATAATTTTATTTAATAAATGCAGATATGTAAACGTACTTATTGTAAATAAATAAATGCTTATTTATTATTATTATTATTATTATTATTATTATTATTACTTAATAAAAACATTTAATTGTCGCGAGAGAGTGAAAAGATACAAGTAAAAAAAAATAAAAAATATAAATAATATTATTATTATAATTATTTGAACTTTGTTCTCTCCTAAATAGATAATAATAATGATAATAAAAACAATATTCATCGATTAGATTTTATTAAATAATAAAAATAATAATAGAAATTTGTAGAAGTAAAAAAAAAAAGCTAACTACGTTTTGATTTTTTTTTTTTTTTTATTTATAAAAAAAAATTCTACACATCAGTCTTCGAATTATTGTTATTGTTATTATTATTATTATTATTATTATTATCATTATCATCATTATGATTATCATTATTATTTTCTACGGAATTTAAAAAAAAAAAAAAAAAAAAAAACCTGTAAAAATTTTTAAAAAAAATATTATGCGTCTTTTTTTTTTCTTTTGTATCAATTCACTCTTTACATTTTATTTTATTATTATTTAATAAACGGGGGGGTGGGGAGAGGGGGTGTAGGTCAAAGGTCGCTACAAAAAATTTTCTCGATTTTCGAACGTTTCTTTCTTTCCTTTTTTTTTTTACAAAAAAATGTAAAAATGCAAAAAGTAAATAAGAAACGTTCGCGTGACGTTCGAATTCCCTTTTTCAAACGGCTTTTTATCGAACGTCTAAAGGGTTGTTCTACCCCCAAAGGGAAAATTTTTTTTAAAAAAATTATAAAAACCACCCCCCGAAGAAAAAAAAAAACATTTTTAACCTCCTTTTTTGTAACGCCTCCCACTCCCACAACCCACACCCACACACACCCACAATCCACGTGCGTTTTCTTATTATTATTATTATTTTTTCTTATTACAATACGCATATAAAATAAACGCACGTAAATTAATTATTAATTACATAAATTTAAATAATAATAATAATAATAAAAATGTCGGAAAGATTAATAATTAATTACATAATTAATAAATTTAATAAATAATAAAATAAAAAAATTGTTCCCGATTTATATAATTTAAAAATCAGTCGTTTGTTCGCATTACAAACCAAAACGTTCATCAACATCTAATATGAACCTACAATTATTATTATTTATACATAAATATATATATTATTAATAAATAAATACATAAAGCGTTGCGTACATAAATATTTATGTAAAATATCATATTATTATCATTATTATCATATTTTTTTAAAAATAATTTTTAATACTGAACAATAGTATTATTATTATTAGTCCCCAAAGTAAAAATTACAAAAAATTTCATTTCAGTCGTCGTTATAATTCAGGTACCTAACAAAAAAAAAACCTTTTTTATCATTATCATTATTATTATTTGTTTGTTGCCGTATAAAAAAAAAATTATTGTCGTTTGTGTTTGTTTTGTTTTGTGCTTATTTATGTAAAATATTATAATAATAATAATTTAATTATTTATTTATTAAAAAAATTAATAAAAACATTTAATTTGACTTGTGATATCAATTTTATTTCTCTTTTTGGTCACGTGATGTATTAAAACGAAAACTAATCAATTAATAATACTAAATAATAATAATAATAATAATAATAATAAAGATTTTTTTTGTTTTTTTGCTATTAAAAATTGATACAAAAAAAATATAAAAATAGTTTTTTTGTTTTATGGAAGACAACAATCAATACTTTTCTAATTTCAGATTCGTTAATTAAAAAATTATAGCGTTCAGATTATTATTATTATCTTAACTAAAAAATTATTCTTTGGTGATTGGGGGGGGGGGAAATACCTTAAAAAAAAAAAATCCTACGAATACCTACGAATTATTATTATTATTTTACACGTCGATGATATAAAAGTTAATTACTAATTTATAAAATATTTAAATAATTCTCCCAATTTATACTTATTATTATTATTATTATTATTATACTGTGATGAATGTTATCGGAATTGAAATTTCCGATATCGATTGATTGTAACGAAATCGATTGATTTTTTATAATTAAAATTTTACGAGAGTATTTATATGGCAAACGCATCCATTTTCTTTTTATCTACAAATAATAATCACCGTCAAACGACATGTTTTCCTTCATATTTTTCATTATAATATAAACTAAAATAAAGTTTATTATCATCATCTATGATATATTTTATATAAAAAAAAAAAAAAAAAAAACTGACTATAATTCATGCAATCTTTGGTTCGTTTTATATTATGTAAATTTATGCTTGCGTCCTTACATATATATATCAATACTGAATTTATTTCCAAATTTTTCTTTTTTTCTTCTCCATTAATATATAATAAAAAAATTAATAAAGAAAAAAAGAATTCATTATAATTCAGTATCAATATAAATTTAAAGCTACATATACGTCGGTTTTATCTTATACGCTTTCTTCCATATTTCGCATAAGCAAACGGTCGAATGAAATCTATAAAATATGGCCAATGGCATGGACACGTGAGTTATTATGGTCCATGCCCAGAGACCGTAAAAATGCAATTGAATCGGATGTGATTCCGCTCGGCTTTTTTCCAAAGTGTTTATCGCCCACATGGCAAGATTCGTGACGAGGAGAAATGTTATTATTTCCCTTCCGGGTTTACGTCGAAATTGTTCGGGAGTCACGCAACTCCTCCGATAAGCATCCAATACGAACATAGTTTGACACGTCGTCTGCAAGAGACTCGCGAGAGCCGTTATCAAAACCAAAACGGTATTTTTTTCGATCGTGAAATGTCCGCCGATGACCGTGAAAGTCGAGTATATAAACATTCCCGTTTGTGCTCCGATAAGCAATATGTTGTCCAATTCCAAATTTCGTCCGACTTCGAATTTAAGTTGTCGTACCTGAATCATATAATACGCATCATATACACGTACATATCAAATGTACTAAACACTACATACTAAATGTACTCCCACATACCTGAACCATTCCTATGAGTGTAGCCAAAGTTGAGAGACCGTACAAAGTGAGTTCGCATATGTTGACTTCCATTACGGCCAAACTCACAAATTCCGGTTTGGATATCAAAACGAAAAATAAAATCAACGAAATTATTGTTAAAACTAATATGAGTATCCCGACGAAGAGTCCTTTGTGTGCTCCCGCACAATCCACGCTGTAGTGATGGGGAGAACGACGATAATGAGTTTCGTGGAGGCCGAGTTTTTTAACGTCCGACGATGGACTCGTTCTCGGTGCAACTTTCGATATGTTTTTCCACATGACGTAAAGTATGGCCGCGCATATGAGAGAGTATTCGATGGTGCAGGGAAAAAGGAAACCGCTCGCATCTTGAACGAGGGAACCGATTATATTAGTACGACGACATTCGTAAATGTGATGCGGTCCTTTTAGTCCTCTTGTGACGCGTTGATGATGATGATGATGATTATGATGACTCTCTGACAAATTGGATAAGTGAAACGAATGAGGATTCATTGAAAACAAGCCTGCAATTAGAAAAGGTTAAGGTCACGCACGGGGGTCAAATTTTTTTTTATCATTTTTATATAAATATTTTATACCTATATTCGTGTGCCTGTGTTGTAACATGAGAGTACCATTTTCCGGATCGTAAAATGTTAATATTTCATGTTTAGTTTCTTGTATTAAAACGCTTAACCAAACTGAAAGGTTCGTTCCGATCATGTGCATCAAACCGAATCTCGCCAAAACTTTGTGTTTGAAAAATTTCATTTGCTTTAATAAAAAAAAACGGACATTTTGAAATATAATTCGTATACTCTTGGAGAAACGAAGAAGTTTTTTTTAATTTATATTTTACCTCATCGTTAAGAAATATAAAATACATTTGTATAAAAATAAATGCCATTCTCGTTGCCGGTGTCAATGCTAATAAAACATTATGACATTTTGTATCTCTTTCAAGTTCGAAATACTGTCCAAATTCTAAACCTGAATAAATCATGCTACCAATGCCAAATGCTGACAAAACAAAAAAATTATTTAATTGTTAATGAACTCGGAAAAAAAAAAAAAAAAAAAATTACTCATAATTTTTTTTAATCAAGGCTAACAATAGTAAATATTCCCATTAGACGTAACGTCGTTAATGCATTTAAAATTTAAATTAACATAATTAATTTGCTTCCACAAATAATTGTAATGCTACGCGTGACAAATAAGGCCCTTTTTTCACTTTTCCACATGAGAAGAAAAACACTAATAAGTATTTAATGAATAATCTCCCTCCCCTCCCTGCCATCTCGAGTACCTTCCCCCCTCTCTCTCACTTATCATTTCCTCTAATTACATAAAATAAATTTTTTACCAACTTTGATTACTCAACCTTAAATAAATTAAGTAAAAAAAAAATGTATAAGATTTTAAATTATGATTGGGGTTTTTCACTTTAAAGTAGTGAAAATTTCACTTTTCTTTTTTCTTTTTGTAATTATTATTATTATTATTATTACACTCACCAACTGCACCCATTCTAAGATAAAAACTTCCATAATGATACTGATTGTAATTATCGGTTGAATTTTGACTCTTCGAATGCGGCCTGTAATTTTCTTCTGTTGCCACGCTCAATTCCGTATCCGTTGGATTTTGAGTCGTGCCACTGCAATCCGATCCGGAGGATTCACTATTCGATTCGTTTTTTCTTTCTGTTAATTTATAAAACCGAAAATTGCGTTACGCGGGGTCGTTAATACAAAAGCACATCCTGGAGTGTAAATATACTCACTGGGAGAATTGTTATTATTATTATTATTATTTCTCGATTCGATCGATCTATCACGAAGCATTAAAGCATACATGTACAATAAAAATAACATGCTTCCAAAATATAGATATAAATAAAACCATTCGTAAAAAGATGATGGAATATATGTCGATATGACTTCCGCCATTGGAAAAGCAATTCCCATGACTACAAGAAGTTTGCCATACAATGCAGATAAAGTTGAAGCCAAAGCATCGCTGTTAATGATAATAATAATAATAGTAGTAAAATTACAATTTATAATCGTTAGTATTATTATTATTATTATGTAGAATGCTTACGATCCCATTCTTTTCCAATCAACCTGAAGTTGTTCCAATCTCGAGGGCCTTTTAAGAAAATTTGCTTGAAATAATTGATGTCCGGGTTGATACATGTACGGAGTCAAAATGTGTCGATTGACACCCAAACTGAAACATTATCGTAAGACGAGATGGATTATAAAATGTGGTGAATGATTATCAGGTTTTCGAGATTAAAAGGAAAAAACTCACTCCGATCTATCAGAAGATTCATCACGTCTAAGAGGTTCGGTACGAACTCTTTCTTGCTTTCTATTAGGTGGCGATGATTGATGACTTAGAGTTTCCGGGCTTACAATAACAGCACTCGGTGAAGCTGGCGAAGGTAGTAGAACAGGTTCCGTAAGAGCCGCGTGCCGGCTTCCCGGAGGAAGACCAGGCCAACTACAATAAATAAAAAAAAATCATTTCAACATTTGAAATTAGAAATAATTGAACAAAATGAAAACATGAGGAAACATTCAATCAGAATTTACAGGTGACCTTCAGCAATAATGTAACTCCTCACAATTTTTTTTTTTTTTTTTTTTTATACCTCTTAACACTTATGTTTCATTTTAAAAATGTTTTTAAAAAAAAAAAAAAAACTCTTATTTAAAAAAATTTCTTTTTTCATTTAAACAAATTTGTTTAAAAAAAAAAAAAAAAAAACTTTAATTTGGAAAAAAGGAAGGAAAACTAACAAAAACTATTTTAAAAAAAAAAAAACTTGACTTTTTCGTACTAATAATAATAATAATAAAACGTTAAAAAAAAAAATAATAATAATAAAATTTTGATTAAACCCCACACGTACCTTACCGAAGCTTGTTTGGTAATTAAAGCCATATTTAAGGTAACACTTAAACACCGAACAACCAAACAAACCTTCTAGAAAGATATTTGTTAAGTGACCGCCCTAACGAAATCATTTTCAACTACTAAAAAAAGTTTCTCTCTCTCTCTCTCACTATCTCTTTCTATCTCTTTCTGACTGCAAATTACAGCGTCATTATCGATGATTACCCAGCTCTCTAAAGAATAGGGAAGTTTGTTTTAACTACGGTCAAATTATATTAATTTCCATTATAAATCATTTAGTAAATAAAAAAAAAAAAAAAAAAAAAATGGAGAGTACTACTTTTCGTACAAAAAAAAAAAAAAAAAAAGATTTTCTTTTAAAAAATTTTCATTCTTATTACCCATCATCTTGTTTAACAATTTCAAAATTTTTTTGAGAATCAGCTATTGTTGCTTCTTCATCATCATCATCATCATCATCATCCATTTCTAATATTTCATTATCGTGCAATCCTGATGTTGTGGCAACTTCTTCAATATCGGAATCAATTCCCTGTGCAAAATCCATGTAAAATGAATCTCTTGAATCTGATGAACCTCTTCTTAGTTTAAGACTTAAATCAGGTGAACTATCTCCAATATTTTTTCCAGCCATTTTTTTTCCTTCTTTTACACTCCTCAATTTTTTTCTTATGTATCTTTTTTGTAATTATTTATGCCATAATTTAATTAAAAGTGATGCACTGGAAAAAAGAAAGTTTTTTAATTTATGTATTTTTTTTTTTTGTTATCGACAAACATAATTAAAATGATTTACTTTACTTTGATGTGAATCGAAAAAAAATTCTTTGTGCTCCCTTCTTCATGTTGGTCGATTCCTAATTTTATTACATTGTTCTGTATAAAAAAAAATTTTTTTTTAAAAGCTTTGTGGTTTATTTTCTCTGATCTATTAATACACACCACATGACTAAACACTTTGTTAAATAAATAAATATACTCAGCAACATCTAATAAGGTCCTGGGGCAGGAGTCTTAAAAATAAAACAAATTTTTTTATCTTATTTAAACCTGCCGATTATTTTTTTAGTTTCCGACTTAACAAGGTTCTCAGGTTTAACATTAACATTACACCCCCCTTTTTTTCTTAATGCGAAAACATTTTAAATGATGTAATTAGTCAAAAAAACCTTTTAATCATATAATGTAACTTTTCAAATGTTTAAAAAAATTTTTTATGGTTTCATTCAGGTATAATATTTTGCAAAATGGTCATGTTCATGTAACAAACGATAATTTGTGGTAATTAAATACTGAATGAATGCAATATATAATAGTGAGTGCATGGGGTGGAGAATTATTCGAATGAGGCATTGAAATGTCTTGATAATAATAATAATACATAAATTTTGCATTTAAACATAAAATATACAAACCTATCACATTGTGTGTGATGCATGGTGTTAATAAATATATTAAAAATTTGTTTCTTTACACCAAAAAAAAAAGGAAAATTTTGTAAATTATTGACAGGTATTCGATATTAACCTGATTCTTCTCTGAGTAATTAATCACAATTCGAGAAAATTCCCGTCATTGAAAGATTTGAACAGTTTTTATAATTTTAACAACATTTTTATATATGTCACTTCATTCTCCATCCTTTTGTATGATAATTATTCAAAATGAAAAATTTCAAAGAAGTTTGAAAAAAAAAAAAGGAGAGAGAGAACAAAAAAGAAAAACCTTAAAGTGTTTTATGAATGAACAATAAAAGAATCGTGAATATTAAATAATAACGATATTTTAATTATTACCATCATCATCATCATCATCATTTTTTTTTTTTTTTGACGTTTCTTATAAACAAACGTGATAACTTATATATCATTATTAATAAACAAACACAACAAACATTTTAATAAGTAATATAAAACTTACATCACGGTAATTAAAAACGAAAAGTAAAAAAAAAAAAAAAAAAAGAATAAAAAAAAAAAAAACGGTTTTAAATACAAACGGAAGACATTTGAATATTAAAACTAAAAAAAAAAAAAAAAAAAAAAATAACGAAACGAACCGGAAATTACGAAACGACTAAAAAATAAATTCGCGAAATAATAATAATAATAATTTATATAAAACACTAACAAAATAATAATAATAATAGTAAATGAATTTTTTTACATGTAAAACGAAAATGAAAAAAGTAATAAATAAACGATGAAAACAAAATGAAGGTGGTAGCAGTAGCAATGGCGGTGGTGGTGGTGGTGGTAGTGGTGGTAGTAGTGATTTTTTAGGCCTATACACGGGCACTTTAAAGGCGGGGTAGTTGGACTATACGCGTGTAAAAAGGGTATAAAAGCTAAAAAAAATTTTTTTTTAAACCGGGTGAAATTATTATTATTATTATTATCATTAAATAAATAACGATCAATTCACAATAAAATAATAATAATAATAATAATTTGTTGTCGTTGCGGTGCATTAGTCACGCGATTTAAAAAAAAAAAAAAAAAAATTAATGTCAACGACTTTAAGTTCATAGTTTTCATCAAAAGATTAATAAAAGACACACAAAGGCTCCCCTCCCCTCCCCCCCTCAAAAAAAAAAACAAAAACAAAATGGCTTCACGAGTGTAATTAATCCTAAAAAAAAATTGAATTCTCTCTGGGCATTAAATTAAATTTAAAAAAAAAACAAAAACAAAATGGCGGAGGGATATTTAACGTTCAGATTTTTGACATTAAATAATTTATTAAAAAAAAAAAAAAAATTCAAACGATCGATGAACGTCGTGTACATAATCATCATCATCATCATCATCATCATCATCATTGATAATAATAATATTTTTATGATTGATAACGGAATTATATAATTTTTTTTTTGTAAGATTAATGATAATTCACACGTTTTAAAATGTTAAATCACATTAAAAATAAGAAAAATTAAGGGCAAAAAAAAAAAAAAGATTATCATCATTAATGAAAATTATTATTATTATTATTATTATGGTAATAAAAAACTTAATGATGCAAATTTATTATTATTATTATTATTATTTAAATGATATTAAAAAAAATTTTCACCATATAATTTTCCTGCGTTGAATTTTCCTTTTGTTTATAATACGCATGCTCTTAAAATAAATGAGAGTTAATATATTTTTCAATTTCATCCCCTTTTCAATGGATGGATTTTCTGGATGGCTTAGGGTAGAAAAAAAAAAATCCCCGAAAAACAAACGAATTCTTATCAATGAAAATCACAAGGAAGACATTTTTGATTTTTTTTTTTTTTTTAATTAATTAAACGTTTTCCATCATTTCATTCATTTTACACATCATTTATCATTAACAAACACGTGATGCAAGTTTAAAAATGGGGATGGTGAAGACATATTTATGACTTTTTTTCAAATAAATCATTTTAATAATTATCATCATCATTATTATTTTTATATAATATATTTTAATAATTTTTATTTCGTTCTAAATAAAAAAAAAAAAATGAAAAGCTATTAACAAATAATTAATAATAAATTTAAATTATACAATATTATATCTTTTATTATTATTATTATTATCTTATGTGACTTTTTCTTTTTCTTTCTAACGTAATCTTATAATAATTTTTTTTTATTAATACGTACATGATTATATATTTATTTATTATTTTAATAATTTAGTTTTATAATAAATAAAATAAAATAAAAAATGATATAAAACTATAAAATCTCTGTGTGTGTGTGATTAAAAATACATTTTAATAAATTATTTAATTTTTTTTTTTTTATTACCTTCTCTATTGATTTCTCTATCGATTAAATAATAAATAATAACTTTCAAAATTGCCAATCAATCAATCAATCAATCAATCAAATTATCATCTCTAGTGATTTTTATTTTAAAAAGAAAACATTTTGGAAGCGAGAAAAAAAAATTTTTTTAAAAAATTATTTCATTAATTATTACAACTCATTAATTTTTAAAAAAATTTACATTGTATTATTAACTTTTCCATTATTATTATTATTATTATTATTATTGCACCCACATTTTACAATAAGTAAATTATTAATTAATAAGAATATATTTTATGTGACTGGATATTAATAAATTCAGCAAATTAATACTATAACACAATATGATAAATAATAACAAATGATAATAACTTTACATGAGTAAGTAATTATATGTAAATAATTTTTTTATGCTTAATAATAATAATTTGTATATATTATTAAAAAAAAAAAAAAGTTTTCCAATAATAAATGTACTACTAATTACTAACTTTACTTTTTTTTATAACGTTACAAAAATAAATATTTAATTATTATGTAATTTATTAAATATGGCTTATTTTTTATAATACGATTATTTGCTCTTTTAAATTATTTAAAAAAAAAAAAAAAAAAAATCGATGAGATTGCAAAACGCAAACTATTGCAAATATTATTTTTTTGGTAACAAAACAACAAAAAAATTATAAAATGTGTTTTATTATTATTATTTTAGAAAATTTCCTCACTGTGAGGAAAATTCAAAAATGTCTCCTTTGATCGGTTGGGGGGAAAAATAAAATTTTTTTCATTGAATTCATCCCACGCAGGATTTCCAGGCAAATCCACCGCAAGCAAGAGACATTAAAAGGTATAAAACAACCTAAAAATAATAATAATAATTTATATATTCATACCTATTTTTCATTTTCTTTAAACTAATCAATTTAAAAAAAATATTTTACCACTGCTATGGCTCCGATTAAAAGGTAACATTTAACATTTTTCCAAAAAAGAGCTCTAGATAAATTTCTACTGGTTTGTCGAAATGAAACAGACTGGAAAAAAATAAAATAGAGAAAAATGCTATGTAAAACCATGTCACATTTTAATAATAATGTTTATTTAAACTATAACAAAAAAAATTAATTTGTTAACTTACTGTCGAAGTTAAATTTTCAGTCTTATTTATAAGTAATTCTAATCGTTCTCCTCGAGTGGCCACACTATCTATAAAAATTATCCCAAATGAGTAAATAATTATAAAAAAAAATTCAATAAAATAAATATAAAAAGTAAAATTTAACACATTTCACACATTACCTATATTTTTAACCATAATTTTTTTCAATTCATCCAATTCTCCGTGAACTTTTGATATTGTATCTAAATTACGATTATTCGAATAATATTTCATTTGATTGGCTAAAACTCTTGAAAATTCCGAATCTAAAGAATAAGCAATCGCTGTTTGCGCTTTGGTTCCAAACATGCTGTTGAATTTATTTTTGATTTCATTGAGAAAAAGAAATGCTCTAGATCTTTCAAATTCCTAAAAATTTTAATTTTAATCATAAACTTTTACCAACGACTGACTTGGTATTAAAGGGGGGGGGGAAAAAAAAAAAAATTCAAATCAATTTAAAACTTACATCATCTGTAATGCACATATAAATAATACCATTTTCTGATATGTAATGAAATAAGTAATTATCATGACTGTAAGTGAGCTTGGAATCTTCCGGAGAAATTTGTTTGAGAATTTGTTCTGTGACTTCTTGAAAGTTTCCAGTACATGATGCATATTTTGTGAGAATAGTGATTCCTCTACTAATAACTGAATATAAAATGGTCATAATGTATTTATCTTATGAACCTAAAATAAATTCGAGTGATTAAATACGATAAAATTGTTTTAAGAAATGATATTCGAAAGTGAAACAAAACCGACTACGTTATTAAGTTTAACGATAGACATTAATAAAATTATTTTAATTTATTTAAACAAAATATATTTAAAAGTTATGTATTAAGAACATAAACTTATTTAAAGTAAGGGAATCAATAATAAAACAATTTTTAAAACTTTTAAAATTATTAGAAAATTTAAAAATTTATTTATTAGTTACCCAAAAAAAAGTTAATCATTGATGTTTGATTAAATAAAAAGGTGTTATTCATACACAATTTTCAATTTAACATGAAAGCCATTTAAATGAAATATGAATTTAACAGCAAATCAAATAAACCATTTAAAAAATTTAATTAATTGATGTGATTCATAAATTTTTACCTTTTTTTTTTTAATGTCATTAAAATTGAAATCGAAATGAAATATTTCTTAACGAGACAATTACGGCTTTAAATTAATTAAAATAATATAATTTGGTTTTAAAACTTAAATGACAAATAATAAAAATGTTGTTTTTAAAATAATAAAATCCCAAAAAAGAAATTTCAAAAAAAAAAAAAAAAAAAAAAATTAAGAAGAAATGATATGAATATTTGACAGGAGAATTTCAATAAGGCAAAACTCATATAATATTAATATAAAATTTTATATAATAATTTATTTTAATATAAACATAATCGAATTTTTCAAAAGAAGAATTTTAATTGGAGGACAAAGCAGTACCGAATAAAAATTTAATTATCATATTAGTTATGATAAAAAGTATTATCAATTAGTATTATTATTATTTTACGACGTAGTTAAAATGAAAGTATTTAAAAGTAAAAGTTTTCGTAAATTTAATGATTTTTAAAAAATATTCTGTTAAATATATAAAATACTCACTGTCACGCGAAAAAAAAAAAAAAAATTAAATAACAATATAAATTAATTACAAATCGGAATTAAAAACTTCAACAATTTGGATAAGTTTACACGCCATTTTGTTACATAACAAATGCCAACATTGAAACTCGAAATAAAAAATTTTCTTTGGAATTAATGACAGGGAATACAAAAATTATTTTTTTTTAACACTTTTACTTTTTTCTTTTTGTAAAACTACTTTTATTTAAAACGTGTTATTAAAATAATTACATTTCCGTAATAATGATTTTAACGAGAGAAACATGATAAATATTTTCAATTAATAATATAGAAAAATCATAAGTTATTAAATACTATATTAATACTCCCGTTAAAACTTAACGATTTCTTTTTTTTTTTTTTTTTTTAAATAAAAAATGTAATTAAAATTTTCAATTATTTAGGGTAAGAATTGAAAAAACCTCAAAACAAATTCAAAATTTGTGTAATTATGTTAGATTACATAAAATTCGTGCTTGAATTTTTAAAAAACTTTTCCCAACCACAAATTTCGGTAATAAATTCCATTTTTTTCAACCATTAAACGTTTTTAAACATCTATTAACTAATAAACATTTATTTTATTACTCAAACCGATCATTTTTAACTTTTCATTTCTCAAAAAATTATCACAAAACATAAAATTAATCCGTTAAAGCATTTCTTCTATAAATCCAATTTAAACGACTTGATGGAAAAAACGTTTCCATTTCAAGCGTATCGACACATATTTCATAGAATAAATAACACATTTTCGTTTCTTTCCACGTTATTGAAAAATGAATATCGGAGGCTTTGTAAAATCAAAATATTTATTACGTCATGTATTAAAAAGAAAAAAATGTAAATAAATCAAAATACAAAATACAAAAAAATAAAAAAAAATTAAAATTTTCCTTTTTTTAAATTTAAAAAAATTAAAAAATAATGATAATTTATCAATGGGCACATTTCTTCTGAATATATCAATTTAAATTTCGATAAGAGTAATAAAGATAAATTTATTAAATAAAGATTAAAAAAAAAAAAAAAAAATTTAAATGAAAAACACATGGCTGGGTGAGTAAAAGAAAAAGAAAAAATAACGAACTTTTTTTAAAAAGGAACGACATGAATGTTTTCCATTAATTTACGAATGTGTAAAATATAATAGATAGATAGATAGATAGAAAAAAAAAAAAGAAAGAAAGAAAGAAACACAAACGTGCATAAATTTATTCTCAAAAAGAAAAAAATAATAATACTTTTTCGCTGTTAAAAATCCACCCAAAAAAATTTTTTTTTTTTTTTTATTTACGACGATAAAATGAAAAATAAAAATTCGTTATAAATAATAATAATAATAATAAAAGAAAAAACCGCAAAAAAAAAAACGAGAAAGTGAAAAAAATTGAAAACAAAGGATTATATACGTTATAAAAATGTTTAACGGACAACAGGATAATTTTAAAAATTCAATTATCAATCATAATAATAATAATAATAATAATAAAATTTTCTCGTTTATAAATATAAAAAAAGGATTTGAATTTGAAAAAATCATTTGCGACGAAATTGACAACAAACAACAGCAACAACAACAACAACAACACAAAATCGATAGTAAATGTAAATTTTCCGTTGATTTGATGCCCATTGCAGAAGAAAAAATAATAAGGAAAAGAATTAAATCCATCGAACCGGAACATCCGGTTAAAAAATTCAAACGTTTTGATTCATCTAAAAAAAGATCCTCGCATAAAATTGACGATATATTAAATTTACGTAAAAAAATATGTTACTGACCGAAAATAAATTCCCCCGCCCATATCCCCAAAACAAATACGAAAAACACATCGTGAAAAATTTTATGTGAATATTATTATTATTATTATTATCATAAATATTAAGGCTAATATTATTATTATTATCAATTTAATAATCATTCGAGTTTAAATGTAATAAATAAATAAATAAATTTATAAATTTAAATAATTTTCTTTTCCTCCTTCTTCTTCTGATCCTTTTTAACGTAAATTATGTTTTTTATGTTTTATGTTGTCCTTTTAAAAACAATCAACCAATTATTATTATTATTATTATTATTATTATTTCGTAAACGACATTTTTAAAATACGTTCTCGAAAATATAATAAAAAAAAAAAAAAAAGGGAAAATTCGATGTAATTTCCACGATAATATTTCATTTACATTTGTAAAAATTATATTACGTAAAAAAAGTGAAGTAATGGCGACCTTAATTTTTTACCTTTTTATTACGTAATGATAATAATAATAAGTAATTTAACGAACGTTTATTTTATTATCATCATCATCATCGTCGTCGTCGTAACATCACAAACAATCATTTAATGGATATTAAACGTCGTTTATCATTACGATTATCATTCGATATTTTAAAAACATTATTATTATCATCACGTGACTTTGACAACAACAACAACAAACAACACAATCGTTTGCTGTTGCTGTCGGAGGGCTAAAAAAAAAAAAAACAAATTTTTTTTATATATATACGTGCATGATGAAAAATTTTTTTAAATTTTTTATTTATAATTGAGCATCATACATTTATTATTATTATTAATATTTATCTAATAATCATTATTATTATCATTATCATCATCATCATCATCGAGGGTAATAATATATGTATATATATCTAACTACATATAATATAATAAATAACAATTAAATAGTAACATTAAAAAAAAAAAAAAAATTTTTTTTTTTTTTCGAGGGGGACCGACCCAATCAACGAACGAATCCCATCGAAAAAGCTGTGAGAGATTTTCTTTTCCTTTGTACACGTTTAATTATAAATTATTTGAGTTCAACGACCTTTATAATATCAATAAAATTATAATAATAATAATAATATAATTATCATTAACTAAATTCGTGTGATGCATTAAAACAAAATAAAAAAAAAAAATTCGGTAATAAATTAATAATAATAATAATATTATCATCAACTTTTTTTTTTTTGGGAGGGGGTGGAAAGAGGGAAGGGGGAAGAGAGGGGAAGGGAAGAAGAGGGGGGTTTATAGTTTTTCTAACGTTAAAAAAATAATAATAGTAATAAATAAATAAATAAATAATAATAATAGTAATAAAAGTGGGTTAATAAAATAAAAAAACAAATTAACGAAAAAAAAATAAATTAAATAATAATAATAATAATAATATTAATATTAATAATAATAATAATAATAATTTTCTCTCACAACCTCGTTGAATTTTTTTTATATGTATATAAATATATATATATATATATTAATAATTAAGTAACTTATTAAATAAAAAAAGAGGGGGAAATAAAAATAAAATAATAAATAAATAAATAATAAATAATAATAATAATAGTAATGATAATAATAATAATAATAATAATAATAATAGTAATAATAAGTGAAAATAATGAAATAAAAAAACATGATGCTTATTAATTTTTTATTATTTATTAATTATCATCATCATCATCATCATCATCATCATGACTACGCGTCGACGTATAATTCAATGAATGAATTAAAAAACTCAATGTTTCGTCGATCGATCGAGTGAATGAATGAATGATTGAATGAATAAATAATAAAAATTACAAAAAACTAATAAATAAATTCTTAAAAACTAAATTTTATAAAAAAAAAAAAAAAAAAAAAAATTATTTTTTATTAATTAATTAATTTTTTTTTTTGTCACAATGTGTACATTATTAATATTATTATTATTATTTGACTAGTGTCGATCGTAAGTAATTAATTAATTAATCGATTAATCGATCCATCGATCGATCGATCGATTACGATTTGGTATTTAATTTTTTTAATTTAAATTTTCACCCTGACGCGAATGACACTTTTTAAATTTCTTCTCTCTCTCTCTTACTCTCTTCTCCCATCTCTCTATCTCTCTCTCTCACTTTTACTTTCTTCTCTCTCTTAATTATTATTATTATTGTTAAGTATTTTTTTTTTTTTTAAATTATCAACTAATATTCTAAGTAACATTAACGTAATATCAATAATTTTTTTT